ATGATCCTAAAAGTTATGAAAGAAATGATAAATCAAGTTTTCTTTGGTGGATACCACTTACGTACACTACTGCTTCAAAATTAGACTTTTCGACAACTAAACCTTCCCATTGGTTTAAACCACAAGAATTTATGATGTTGACTGAAACTGGAGTGTCTTCTAAGGACTGGGTTTTATTTAACATTAATGAAACTGGTTTTTATCGTGTAAATTACGATTTGAAAAACTGGGAAATGCTGATTAATTACTTGAATGACCCAGAAATGTTTTCAAATATCGGTATTATTCAATTTCATTAAAAATATACTAGATAATAAAAAAAAAATATTATTTTCTAGGAACTATTAACCGAGCCCAGTTAATCGATGACGCTATGTCTCTTGCGAGAGCTGGATATCTTAGCTATAAAACATCTTTGGATATGACTAGATATCTGTATCATGAAACAGAGTTTGCTCCTTGGAAATCCGCTTATAGATCATTTATTTACCTACACCAAATGCTTATAAAAACTCCCGCTTATGACAAATTAAAGGTAATATTGTTAGTTATCTCCAAATCAATATAAAAAGAGTTTTATTTTTTCAGGCATATGTTTTACATTTAATTACTCCAATGTATAAGGAATTAGGCTTCACAGATAGTACAAGAGATGATCAGCTAACAATTTACAAGAGATTTAATACTCTATCGTGTGCATGTGAATTGGGACACATTGATTGTATTCGTAATGCAGTGGTTCAGTTTCAGAATTGGAGATCAACTCCTCATCCTGAAAATAATAATCCGTGAGTAAAGAATGTTCAATAAACAATTTAATTGTTATCTAAATTAACATTCGATTAAAATCTTCTCAATTAGAATTTCACCAAACTTGAAAGCAATCATTTATTGTGTAGCGATTAGCTATGGTGGTGAAGAAGAATGGGATTTCACTTGGAGTATGTACAAATTGACTAAAACTGTGTCAGAAAAAGATTTGTTATTAGATGCTCTAGGTTGTAGTAGAGAAACATGGATTTTGACTAGGTATTTAGAAAAGTTGAATATTTTTTTTTTATTATTATTTAAGAGTATTTTTTTCCGAACATGTGAAAGAGGGCCATCGCCCACTATGATGTAAAATTGATCTTTTCATTCAAGGGTATTTTTT